CTGCTCAGATGAGGCTTATCATACATGAGTTACGTATGTGACACTGTATTCTGTACTAATGCAGGGGAGTTTAAAAAACAGACAGAGTCCCTCTCCTTGGGGAAGTCACAAATAGTTCTAGGTCAGGAGGAAGAGGTTAGGAGCACTTCAGAGGAGACAAGGTGGTTACTTTTCTTGGTGCCAGCAGTGCTGCTTTCAGTACTGAGTTTTAATTCAGCAGTGCTCACCTTAACCCTCTCTTCTCCCAGACCATGGGAACTGGGTCTTCCCCTTTAACTTCCATGTCTTCTGGGCAGGATTTGGGCACTTAGGCCTTCCTGTCATCTGACCTCTTCTGCTCCAAGAAAAGGAAGTAGGCAAAACAGCGAAGGAAGGGTTAAGACTCAGAGTTTCAGACCTTATCATTTAGTTATTCCATTAACCAACAGAAATGTATCTTGGGAGTATCTACAATGTTCCATGAAATATTCCAGTTAAAAAAAAAAAAGGTAGAAACTGATAAGTGGGGTAGAATGGAAGAAACACAGGACTGTAAGTCAGAAGTTTTGTGTCCCCATCCTGACTGTTGTGTGAATTTTGTTGGCAAGTCTCCAAACTCTCTGGATGTCAGCCTCTTTGTTGACCAGGTAAAAAGATAAAGTGGTTGGGAATTCTAGTCCACAGTTATGGCTCTCAAAGCCCTTGAATCCTCTGAAATTGAGTGCACAAATTTTGTGCACATGAGCATTTTTCTGGGAAGAATTCCACAACCTTCATTAAACCCTTAAAGGGTCTGTAGTGCAAAAGTAGTTAAGAATTAAAAACAAACAAAAGAAACAGAAAAGAAAAAAGTTTCTGTGGTAGAGTACCAGTGTGAGCCCAGTCCTGTATTTTGTGTGTTTAGAAGATTTACTTGTCTACTTATCATGGATTTATAAGGTGGTTGGTTTGTTTACTTGGTTACTTTTTCATTTATTAATTAAATATTTATTTACCTAACACTGGGGTACAGCAGAGAACAAAACTGACAAAAATCTCTGCCTTCGTGGAACTTAAATTTTACATAAAATTAGATAAAACAAACTACCCAGGTAAAACATACAGTATATCAATTACCAATGGTAAGTTCTGTGGAGACAAATGAAGAAAGAATTGAAGGATGAGGAATGCTGGGAACTGGGACGGTGGTTGGTGATTTAGAATAAGGTGAACAAGAAAAGCCTCACCAAGGTGACAACTGGGCACAGATCTGGAGGAGGTGAGAAGAGAGCCATGGGGGGGGGGAGAAGAGCATTCTAGGTAAAGGGGACTGTAAGAGCCTCTGGCAGGAGCTTGTTTGGACACCAGGAAAGCAGTATACACTGGAGGCCACATGACGGTACAGTACACAATCAGGGATGGTCCAGTTTTGAGCTCTTTTTGGTGAAACAGCTATAAACCACCAGTGATGTGAGAAGTATGAGTAATGTCAGGTGCAGTAGGGTAAACTGCGGTCCATTCCTGGCTTAAGCCTGTTTTAGAGGCAGGGCTCCATCAGGGACTGTGAGTAATGGAGAGCTCCTCTTTCTTCGCAGGCCACAGAGATGCTGGTTCACAATGCCCAGAATCTCATGCAGTCTGTGAAGGAGACTGTTCGAGAAGCAGAAGCAGCTTCAATCAAGATTCGAACAGATGCTGGATTTACACTGCGCTGGGTCAGAAAGACTCCCTGGTACCAGTAGACACCTGGTTGAATCTGGCTGACACAGAAATCCCTGCTAAGCAGAATGAAAATGATCTGAGTTTCAGGAGCTGCCCAGGATTTGCTAGGAGGGTTGAAAGCCACATCCTGGCCTGACATAACAGAAAGGAATGTGTCCTCTTCACATTAGAAAACATTTATACTCTTGTCATGGACACTTTGAAACGTGTCTCCGTATAAAGCCTGTATCCTCAAACACGGTTATACTCGTGCACACTCTATCCCAGTAGGCAGACTGGGTTTCTAGCCCATGGACTCAGAATCCAGGAGTGAACACTAGCCAGACACCCTGCTCTGCCCTGCCCTTGTTCCTTAGAGGACAGTTACCTCTCTGCTTCCTTTTCCCTGCACCCCTCCAACCCGCACCCCTCTCTCTGCCAGGCTCCCAAGATCCAGGGCCCAGGCAAGTCGGTTAAGAGGGAAATCACTGTGCCTCCCAAAATTTGCTTTGGGCTTTCTATGTTGCTGCTGATTCTGCCTGCCTTCTCTGGGGGTGCTACCTGGGTCCTTTTCAGAAGTGAGCTTCGTTGCTGCAGGGGAAGGTGGCCACTAGGGAGCCCCAGCATATATATACAGCCTGGATTCACTTCCTGCCCTCCCCCATTTATTCCTTCTGTTTCCACAGTGCAAAACCAAATTTCACTTTGTCAGGGGGAAATCACAGAATCACAGGATTCTGCCTTTACCATGCCCCAGAGCAATGTCTGTGCTAGGGAAACTTTCCGTCCCACATCCTGCCTCGGCCTGCCAAGGTTAGCCATCCCACAAACACACTGTGTGTCCTGGTGCTCTCTGCCAGAGAGGCAGAGTAGCCTGGGTGTGGCCCTGCCCATCCTCCCGCCAGGGCCACTCCCAGGCATTCCACGCTTTGTCACTGCCTGCAGAGGTCTGTGCTGAGGCCTTACCATTCATTCTTAGCTCTTACTGTTCTTTCTGAGCTGAAATGCTGCATTTAATTTTTAACCAAATCATGTCTCCTGTCCTGGCTTTTGTACTCTTCCCTCACACCCTTCCTAAACAAGATTTTAAAGATAAGTGTTTGTTTTATAATTTTGAAAGATCCGTTTTACCCTTCTGAAATTCAGTCCTAAGAATTGGTGCTTGCCCCCCAGGGGTGTTTAATGGAAAGGCAATCCTGTCTGAAGGATACTTTCTACCCAAGGGAAGTGGTACCTGCAGACAGGAATTCTGGCGCTGCTGGGGATAAATCAATGAGAAATAGTCCTCAGTAACTCCTACCTCCCTCAGCCAACCACCACCAAGCCCCTTGCATCCTCTCCTCCCTCCCAAGTACAGGTGGTCGAGAGTAATGCGTATAGTATATAATTATCACCACAGTAAGTTTCCTATTAGCAAAGTGACGGAGAAGGTAATTTTTCCTTTTCTGTACGTATCACTGCTGTCTAAGCATTCCCCAGCACATGAAACTATATTTCTTCCCAAAGCCAGAACTGGATGAGTAAAGTAGTAAGAACCCTTGCCTGAATGTTCTTCCTTCCCACCTCCAGTGTGTGTTAGATCCTAACATCGAATGTGTAAACCTTATCTTAAGTTGGTACTGTACACTCAGGCTTCCTCTATTCCTTTTAACTGATGAAGATTATTTTCAAGGCCCTCAGCATCTTTGTATAGTTGCTTACTTGATACAAATGCAATATTAATGCCTTTAAAGTATGAAAGTATGAGTCTATGCCAAAGATCACCTTTTGTTTTACTAAAGATTACTAAGAGGAAATAAGAAAAATCATGTTTGCTCTCCAAGTTCTTCCAGTGCTTTGAGACACTGGTTTACACTTTATGCCGATGTGCTTTTCTCTAATATCAGTGCTCAAGACACAGTGAAGCAAATTAAAAAAAAAAATCCCTGAATGCTGATTAGAGATATCACCACTAAAAAACTCCATTTATAAGCTAGGATTTGTTATATGCAAATATTTTCTGCCTCTTCTTTTGTTCTGTTTAAAACAATAAAATGCATTTGTATAAATAATGCTTTCAATGACGGGTATGTTATTTTAGGGAGAACTTTTAGATTAGGTTTCTCCTTTGTTCTGAAGAACAGCCAATGAAGTTAATCCTCGCGATGTGGAAATTAGTTTTATTTAATCTAAATGCTGTACTGGAAGGAACCAGCAGTAATATATTTACTTGACAAGGATCTGGGTACTAGAGGATACTTTGGGGATTTTACACTAGCAGGAGCAGAAGGGACAAGGTTAACTTAACAGTGAGAGGTAAGCAGCGGATGTGGATCATCCCCTGGTTGAAGTAGTCTGTCCTCGTCACAGAAATGCTAGCTCTACTTGGAGGCCATCACCATGCCCTAAGTAAAGCTCTAAAGCTGTTACATGGGCAGCAGTATCGCAGGTCTGTCTTTCATATTCCCAAACCCAGTACAGAACAATAGGGTGTCAGGGACCTACCAGAGCCATGAGGCAGAGCTACCTTTGGGGGACATTTTCCTCTTTGTTGTTGAGGAAGCTCTAAGAGTAGGAGCAGGTTCTTGGCGTAAAGCTGGGACATCACTGTTTTTGCCTGATTTTCTAGATCTGAAAGGGGTAAATTACTTAAAAGGATGACAGTGCTGCCTACTACATTTGTCATTGCTTTAACTCAGAAAAGTTGCTGACGAGGGATGCAGATCCCAGCTGTTTGAATTGAAGAGAAAAGTCCAAGGCTACTGAGTTGGCTCAGCAATATCTGAAAACAGTACTCATGGTCTCGCTTTTGCTACTTACCATATGTTCACTGGTGCTGCCTTCCTGCTGTATTATAGTTTGTTTTCTCAAATCAGATGACTCTAAGAGAAACCACAGGACCAGTATCTTCCACGGGTTCTTCTGTAGTACCACTTACGGCATGAACCCATCACATGACTTCCCTTTGAATAAAATTATGCTGACTCCTTTTATGCAGAAAATGAGCTCTTGGGATGTACTCCTTTAAGAATTTAGAAAACAGTTATTCTTGGATTATATGGAATTCTATGCTTGAAAAATATTTCACTACTACTAAGTATTCATGGATCTTTGTTATTTGTAGGTGGTGGTAGGGAAAGTAGCTTCGATCACTTACTGTTCTGTGGCCAGAAGGCAGATGCTTAGAGAAAGTATACAGGGCTGTTAACATAATGAGGTTAAGAGAAGAGCACTTTGGAGTGCTTTGCAGCAACTCACACACCTGGTGTGATAATGCAGAATAAAATGTGATCACATTCAGCCTGCTCTAACACTGAAGCATGCCCATCTGAGAATGCTCAATCAACAGTCAAGCTAAAAAATCAGCTTGTTACTTTCATCTTTTTATTGACAGTATAGCCAGAGAAAAGGGCTTATTGGATTCAATTAAATTAATAAATACAATAATTTAATTGTAAAAGGGAATAATCTACTTGCAAGTTTTAGCAGAGGCAAGGGACTCTTGGCATCTGCTTGCATATGAGAAGACAGCACAGAAAGGAAATTAGACAGTCCAGATACGATGGTTGAGATTAGGGAATCTACAGAAAGAAAAGCAAATGTACTGACTGCTCTTCTGAGGTACGAACTCTGAGGAGAAAGACATTAAAAATGAAAAGCAACTGAACTGGGTAACCAACCTCAGGCAAAGAGAGTAAGTATTTGGCAACATCTTGATTTTTAGCTGCCAAGCTGATCTTGGTTACCCTAGAAACTGCAAGGTTTCAAGTGAACTCTCCTATCAGATGAAAGGTAGGCTGGGCGCCCTAAGCAGGCAAAGGTAAGAATGCTGCTGTAGGGTGGGCTCCCTGTACCAGCACCAACTGCAGCCCTTGGCAGCAGAGTGGGATGAGTGTAAGGGCTGTCCTTAGCATGATAAGGGAAAGGGAGTTATAAGCTGAGAAGAATTAAAAGAATGGCGTACACATAAAAGAAAATTAATAGCATGAGTAAGAATAAGAAGGAAACATGAAGAATAAGCACTTACATTTAACTTTTCTCCATTCTTCACGTCTAATGGGACAAAATAACTCAGCAAGGACTTCTAAGCCAGTAAAATTAAATGAAACGGTATGGCTGCAGACTGACCTGCCAACCAGGAAGATCAATGCAGGTTTATCATTGTTACTGAGGATTTTGTTTCTGCCTCATTATGACGTACTGCCATCTACTGTGTCAGTACAGTAGACACGTGCAGGTACTGTCGTGACAATTACAACAACAGGTTCAGGAAGGAATCTACTGACTATAGCCTTAAGAAGCACACAAAATGAAAAGGGAGTTCCCCTCAAGACAAGCAATGTAGGCAGATTCAGACCCTTAAGAACAACAAAAAAGGATAAAGTACTAAAAAAAAAAGTTGATGATAGTGAGGCAGGCACATTTTCCTGCTTTAGCTGAACTAGGGCATGAGGCCTTTAGGCTAACTATGGTTTAGGTGATGCTGAGTAAGCTTTATAAAACATGAAGATGGCAAAGGTTCACTGAAGTTTTTTTACTATGTTAATTTGCTTAAAATCTCAAATGCTTGTGCTTACAATAACTTCCTAAAAGCAGAAGTAGTGTTCCCTTTTATTATCTTAAAGTATTCGCCCCTCTGATACATTGATTTTTTACTGTACTAGAAGCTGAACAAAATGGCACAAAACTGAGATGGTACTTACTGCAGCAAGGTCCCTGTAAATCAAAATCTGAGCTTTACATAAAAATCTTATTTATAAAAAATACAATACCAAGTACAGTGAGAATGGAGCAGGGAGCGGCAGTGCTGTCCCTGCCTGGGCCATGTGGAGTGGCTTCTGCTACAGTGCTTGCTTAATGGCACAAGTGAAAAGCTGAATAAGGCAAACACTTGAAGAGGCAGTTTTTTGTAAACTTCTTGGGGTGGGGGAACTCTTCCTCTGTTGGGACAGATACTGATTTGGGGTGGCTAAAATCAGGTATGACATTTGGCTGCACTTGATACATCACATTACATAATAAGACAGCTCCTGCTGATTGAGACCAGTTCACTTGTTTTAGGAAAGAGGTTATCGCTGTAGACTTCTGCCTTTACTGTTAAAATGTGCAGCCTCGAGCTGGTGCCTCCCTATGGAGGAAGTCACCTCCAAATCTTTCTTAATCAGCTAAGACAAATAAGCTAAGTCATTCAAAAGTTTCCTTAGCTTAAAGCTCCTTGAACTCTACATTGATTCTAAGCAACTCTGTTAGCAGTGTGTGGCTCGACACAAATGCTTTAACTAGATTATGTATTCCCACCCAATTGGTACCTAATAGTAATAAACTGTAATGACACTTGGAAAACAAACAGATCTTGAGGAATTTTGGCCTCTTCTCATGTCCTCACTTGGAACTTTCCAGCTTTTGTGACATATTTGACTCCTTTAAATGGCTTATATTTCTCTCCATACATGTCCAAGCGGTTTACTTTTAAGCCTATGTCAAAAAGAACAGGTAAGAAAAGGAATAAATTACTATCCTGGTTACACCAACCAACAGAAATATTTACTTAGCAAAGAGCACTACACAGCAAACCTGACATTAACCAGTGTCCCTTCCACCATTTGGAAACAATGTTCCTTCTACCATTCAGATTATAGCACTGTGCGGATTTGGTTTTAGTTCAGATTCCCATGTGGGCAAGGAGTATCTTTTAAGGATAATTCTACTTTCTGTGAGTATGAATATAGGCTCCTTCCTTTGTGCCTGAATGGGGGTTGGGGTGAAGGGAAGCTGTGTGGATTAAGGTGCTCTCCAAAATCACTATACCCAGAGCACAGTGTGAAAGGCAAACTGCAGCTGCTGCTTTCTAGAAAAGGAACGTCAGTTACCCTTCTAACCTAACAGCTAACCTCAGAGAAACTCAACTACCCTTAAACACAAATCAGATTTCTTCTTACCCGAGATAGCAAGCTGCTGGATTTTGAACTGTATGTTGAGGCTTGGATTCTCTTCTGGCTTGGGTGCTCCAGATTGTAAGTTTACCAGTCCTTTAAGACTTGGGAGCTTTTGTGGAGTAATTTTTCCCACATCCCATGTTAGTACCTTAGAAAGACATAAAAAACAGAAACAATCTGAACTATTTCTCAAAGACAAATGTTCAAAGACACTATATGCTTCTGTACAAAATGAAGCACAGTGTGTTAAAAACAAAGGACCTGGAATCTTCACTGAGTATGACCCCTAGTTCATTCTGTGACTTTGAATGCAGAGTGAGGATGGAGAACCAACATTTGCTGAACATACACTTTTGGCTACAGCCCTGTGCTTAGCATTATCCATACATCATCTCATAGATGCCTGTGATGTGAATTTTGTCTTCTTTTTTCAAATGAGGGAAAAAGGCTCTGAGGTCAAATGACTTGCTCAAGGTCACACAGCTAGTTAGAGGCAAGGTTGGGATCTGAACCTAAGGCTATTTGATATCAAAGTTCTTTCCACTATGCTACCTTTACTGTTTCTGGGCCTCAGTTTATTTTTCTGTTCTGTAAAATGAGATGATGGGCCTAAATCAGTGTTTTCAAACTTTCAGTGATGGAATCCTTTGTTTAAATGAAATCTTCAGTGTGGGAGCTCAGTAACAGATAAGAAAGTGAAGCTGTTACGGTTGAAGTTGGGGTGAAGGTCCAAGGATCTGGAGCTCCCCGCTTCACTTCTCATCCCTGTGTAGTCCCTGGAGAGATTCTTCAAATCCTTAGGACTGGATTAGACAATCTAATACAATGATTTTATTTTAAAAAGTATGCCTTTTCATTTACCAAGCAACTCAATGACTCTACTGTGGAAAAGAATCATTTTTCACCCAAGCAGGAAGCTGAGAGGAAATCATCTTTTATAGTTTCTCTGAAATCCCTCTGCTAGAGGCAGATATATGCAGGGTAAGAAGTCAGCTTCTCTAGCCAACATACCCTAGGAAGATTATGAAACAATGCTCTTAAATTAAAAAGGAAGAGAAAGGTCTTCATGATCAATGTCTACAGAAAATTTAACAATTAATAGATTATAATACCTTCTTATACCCACATAATGATTTTCTCTTTCTAAAAAGTTTTTACACCTTCTTCCTCATTAGAGTGAGTGAGTCTCTGGATTATCAATGGATTGAGTAAAGGCAGACTCTGAAGGAAGACAGAATGAATCTCACTTTTCTGTTCATCTGCTCAGACACAGGATTTTCTCCATAGCTAGTGGAAGATGCACAGCACAGGATGCATTCTAGGTTTTACTAGGAATTTTAGCTTTAACCAAGATATTAAACCCTTCTCTCTGCCCCTCACATCCCCAAATCACAAAATAAAGATTGCAGAAACACATGCTCACTCTTGATCTGAGGTAGCTGTACCTTGGTAACTGGATCAAATGTATAGCTGCCTTGTGTCGGTGTCAGGTTCATATTCAACACAACTTTTGGCATGTGAACTGTCACTGTGATTCCTTCAATGGTTTTCCCCATGTTCTGCTTTGGTCCAATTGTAATATCAAATCTGCCACAAGAACTGTTCTCCTTGAAGCTGATGCTATGTTTCACATACACTGGTATTGCCACTAGACTAAAAAGAGAAAGACACAAGCACAAACACACAAAATTAATGGTATGAGCTCCAGAGGTGGCCTGAAGACCTGTCCAAAGTATCTTAAACCCTCAGAACTGCAATTCGGTATCTGCACCAGGGCAGGTTTAGTACAGCACAGAGTTCTGGTACGATTGTGCTAGGACTAATATGATTCCTGAGAAGTAAATATACAAATCAAGACAGAAATCTGAAGCTTAATTATAGTATAGACAATTGGGGCAAATAGCCCTAGTTTAAAGAAATGAATTAAGATCTCATAGAAAGATAATTTAAAATTATTTAAACTAAATAAAGCAGTTCCTATGTGGGAAGAGCCAAGAAACAATTCCTCTGCTTTAAGTCCTTTCCTGATGTTACCCAAAATACTTTGATATTTTTAAGGGACAAACCAGTCACAACTCACAATGCTAAATCACTCACTTAAATCTCAATGCAGAGAAAAATAACTTGAAGCTAGTTAGTTGAGGGATGTCCTGAGGAGATACAGGTAGGCCTGTCTCCTTCTATCAGCCATGGTGTTGACAGATCATAGTAATAACATGCCATGCGTTCATGGTTTTGCCCAGGTTATGCATGGTCCAAAATGCTTGCTCTCAGGTACATATTTTACTATAGTTTAATTTACTACTACTTGATAGTCTTAGACTCAGGATACACTGATTATTTTAGACACATATTTTCACCAGTTCTTCCTGGGTCTCAAGGCTAGCAATGGCTAAAGGGAGCAACGATGACTTTTAAGTACTGAACTGTTAGAATGAAACAGAGAAAGGTAAGTTCTACCCAGTACACTGACATATGATTCTGGTTGATGCAGCAACATACTTTTGCGAGCTGACACGGTATGATATGAGTCGGAAATTTCCATCTGGAGGAATAAACGACAAAACCCTTTCAGATTCCCAACGCTTGAACCGGATGCAGGGGTGGAAGCTGACATCATCTAGAAGCCTTGGGTTCTGCCAGGCAAACAGAAGACAACCATAATCATAAAGTATAATGACAACTCTATTCAGATATCATGAGAAATTAATATGCTCTCTACAGCAGTTATATAAGAGTTTGTTATTAAGATTGCATCAACACAACCTATGGTTTCACGATGCTTTAAAGTTTGCTAATATTTTATATACATTATTGTATTGAATTTTAGTAACTCCATGAGGTATAAAATGTGAATGGTATCATTTCCATTTCATAGATGAAAAAACTGAGGTTCAAAGAACTCATGATCACAGGTTAGTGGCAGAGATAACACCAGAGCTCAGTTCTCTTGATTGTTCTTAGTAGCGTGTCATGCTGAATCTAAAATTATGCAAAAGATCAATGCCCTTTTGTGACAACAAAGCATATAATAATTCAGTAAAAGTGACATTGCAGACTTGCAGAAGCCAGCTAGCTATTTAAGCCACTTCTAGCATAGACAAAGGCAAAGACCCTCTCTTCAGTCTTTCTATAAAGGTCATGCTCATCACGTAAGCTACTGTCTCTGGAAACTGTGCTAGGAATACTTCTGAGATAATCCTCTGCAATCTAAGGTACAGCATGTCTCAGTATTTATTATTTCATTTAGTACTTCATATGTATTAGTCATACAGGGAGCTACAAAATAGAACAAAACTTACCATGAAAGAAAGGGAAAGGTCAGGCATTCCAGATAGCTTAATGCAAGCATCTATGACCCCTTGAATTTCTGCAAAGACTGTAGATCCTGAAGAAAGAAATAAAGATTCACTGGAATCTGCATCCTTACTAGGGCTATCACTATAAATGCCGTAACAGGTATCTCCTGGGTTTTAGACATAGTGAAGCTTTGCACATCTATTAAAAGGTTAGGGACAGAGGATCCATTACACCAGTTCAGACAGCTTCTTCACTGAGTGCCATGGCCTGAATGTATTTCTGGTCGGAATATGATAATTCTAAGGAAAATCAAACCTATCCCTATCTTTATAGAGTCAACCCTGTAAGACTGCTGGCTATGAAGTTGAAGAATTTTTAATAAAATTTAAAAATTGGCCAAGTTTCTAATGAAATGGACAAAGCTGCCTGTTAACTTTTAAGAAATAAGAGCCATTATTCTTTAATAATAGTTATTATTCCATACAATGGAATTTTATAATGAAAAGGGCACTTTATGAAAGACACTGTTTATAATTCACAGTAAGTCATCTTCACATACCAACCAGCTGTGTGACCTTGAACAGATTACCTAACCCTTCTAAGCCTTAGTTTCCTTATATATAAAATGTGAACGTTGGACTAGATGTTTTAAATAAAATGTTATAATTCTAACAAGAGTACTGTTGTTTTGTCTGAGGTTTTCACTAGAAGGACTGCATATAAAGTGGTAGCAAAAAGCATGGTGCATAGTAGATATGTAATAAATGTTAGACTGAATAAATGGCAAGAGAGAAAGGTATAAAGGGTCATAACCGGAGTAAGGTAAGGCAGCATGAGATCTGATTTACAAAGGTTTGGCAGATCTCAACGACTGGTTATGAAAACTGTATGTAACCTCTGGGCAAAATAAACAGATTTTAAACCATTAGAAGATGAATGCCTTTCCGCTGAAACCATATTTGCCAAGGGATTTCAATTTGCTATTCAGCTTATGTCAGCTGAACTGTTTTTTCCCTGATAAGACAACATGCACACAATTACCTGATTTATCTATAATTGCATCTATTTCTTCAACGACATCAAAATAGGCTTCATTGTTTGTGTATTTTACCCCAGCCCGGCGCCATGGGATGTTGGACAGCTGCCCAGTGGGGAGAGTGTCCCCAACATTACTACTGCCTAATGGGAAAACGAGAAAGCAAAGCTAACGCATAAAATGGTCATCAGAAAAGCTATTAACAGAGGAAAAACAAAAAACCAAAAAACCACAACTCGAATACTTTGGCTGCTTCTTTAGTGTTTAGTTTTTTCTTCACTGAAGTTGTGGATGGTTTCCAAAATTGTCAGAGACATAGCCATACCAACATGATCAAATTTCTAGAAGACAGAAATAGGCCATGTGGTCCTGTGTCTACCTGTAACCAGGTTAAATTCATTTACTTATCTTTTGCTTCCTGTGTGTTAACAGTAACCTAACCTAATGCCAGTGGCTCAACAACAGAATTTTATCCTGCTGCTACTGATGAAAAAAAGAGGCTGGTTGTTTCAAAACCTTCTGCTGATAAAATGTCTCCACTGAGAATACAGAGTGATAACTAGGCCATATGGTATTCAGCTTAAATTCTATGCGATACTGCTAAGCAGGCCTCAGTGGAGTAACTACCTGAAAACATACTCTGGTCTTTTCCTATTTTAAGGTCAGCATATCCAAATGCAATACAGCTAATGTTCAAAATCTGGCTAATTTCCTGGTAAACTGATAAATGTCTGAAAATAATTCCAGCTGTCCAAAACAAGTATCCTTGACCTGTGATGTATTTTAACATTTTGGTTAGTTTACATTTCAACTGCCTAACATGTGAAAAGTGCATAAAAATAGCTGAAAAATATCTATCTTCCTATTACCTAAATACAACATTTTGGTATTATTTCTTTAAATATTTCCCTCATAAACATAAATATTTATTATTTTTTTCTATTTTGATAATTTTGCTTTTTTTCTGACTGCACTTTAAAACAGAGTCAACCCATGAACAATGCAGGGGCTGGGGTGCTGACCCCCCATGTAGTTGAAAATCCATATATAATTTTACAGTTGGCCCTCTGTATATGCAGTTCTGCAATAAAAGATTCAATCAACTGTGGACTGTGTACTACTGCAGTACGTATTTATTGAAAAAAATCCACGTATAAATGGACTTGTGTAGTTCAAACCCAAGTTGTTCAAGGGTTAACTGTAGTTGCAATCAAACTATATATACAACTTTGTGGTCTAATTACGGTTGGTGCTCCTGTTTCCAACCTGTTGCCTTCCAGCATTTTCTAAAAACACTGCTTTAATTTTCCTGTCCAAAAACTTTAAATGTTTCCCCACTGGCTTTATGATAAAAGCTAAATATTTAGCCTAGCATTCAAAGATTTCCTCAACTCAATTTTTTTATCTCTTAACTACTCAACTGAAAAACAGCTTTGTTTCTGTTAAAATGGTTAACATAACTCAGGATTTTTCACTATGTGTTTTTTTATCATACAGTTCCGCCTATGAAAAATGCTCTTATTTGTCCCTCTCTTCATAAACTCTATTGATTCTCTAAGCCTTGCCCTCAGGCCACCTACACAGTTCAGGAGGGATTACTTCATCCACTGAACCATTCCCTTGAACTTTATAATGTATTACCTTAATAATCTATGTTATATTTTTTTCATTCTATAGTTCAGTAATTTTTTTCTGATTAAAAAATACATGTTTATTTTTGGAAATCAGAAAGTATAAAGCAAAAATAAAGATAAAGTAGAGTTCCTCAGCTGAACAGGATCATGATAAACTTTAGAACTTCTCTGTGTGAGTATTTATGCGTAAATAAAAGTGACTTTTTATGGTTTTGTGCTTTTTTTCCCATTTAATATTATATCATGTGTACTCTCCAGTGTCACTACATCGTCTATAAAGTATGGAACTGCTTTTCAAAATCTTACAGTTATTTATGTGTTTTAATTTTTTTCCCCCAGTCTCCCATCCATAGTGCAAGTTTTAGGAGCACAGACACTTCATCTTATGTTTCCTTGAATTTCTCCTGACCCTTAGCCTTGCCTAGAGGATGAATAAAGGAATAATCACTTTCTTATAGGCCTCTTACACACCATTTTTTAGGTCAGTGCATTTGCAAAGGGATTTATAATGGAGGCCAGTATAGTTAGAGTGGCATATAACATTTCACAGAAATCTTTCTCTAGAAGACTTTGATACTTTCAAAAGAATACTGTCACCTGGAGGTACATAATTTCCAGCTATACTCAAGAATTAAACCAAAAGCTTATAACACAAGTACAAGGCCCACAAATGCACAAAATCTCACAAATAGATTATGTTAAGAGTGATGTTAAAATTCATGTGGAAAAATGAAGGGACAAGACCAGATAAGGAAATTTTAAGGACAATACAGGAGCAAGGCTTTTTCAAACAGATACCAAGATATACATTAAAATTATAGTACTTAAGACAAAAGGATACTAGTGAGGCCAATGGAATAGAACAGAGAGCATCCAAAACAGATATATGCAATTCAACTACATTAAAATGAAAACCCTAAACTTCTATTCAACAAAAGACACCATCAATGAAGTGTCTTTAGGAACACTTAGAAAAAAAAAAAAATCTCACAAATAGACTAATTTTCTCTTTTTAATATATCTTTTGCATGTATAAAACAAAGACTTGGAGGAGAAAGTTTGTATTCTATGGCTTAAATTTTCTATACTCTAGTAATTGTGGGGCATTCAGCATAATGCCAGTTTTATAATGCTATTTTTTAATTTTTATGTTTTCCCCAGCTTTATTGAGATATAATTACATATAACACTGTGTTAAGTTTAAGGTATACAATGCATTGATTTGATACACTTACATATTGCAAAATGATTACCACTATAAGTGTCAGGTAACACCTGCCTTACATCACATAAACAAATGCTATTTTAAAAACTAGAATGCCAGTCTATAAATGCACTTCTAAACAGCCTCATATATTGGCTTCTTGTTTATTTTTATTTTTTCCAGTTTTATTGAGATATAATGGACATATAACATTGTATTAGTTTAAAGTATATAACATAATGATTTGATATATGTCTATATTACAAAATGAATACCAAAATAAGTTTAGTAAACAGTATATTGGTTTCTTTATGATTAACTGGAATAATTTATTCAGTCGTACTGTTTAGTGTTAAACAATAGTAATAATATTGTTCTGGTCTTGTAGAAAAACCTATAATAAAAAAGTAATAGCCAAAAGTTCTTTATCATTTAAGATCTTGCCTCTTTCCATGAAAAGAAATATATATCCATTTTAACAATAATGCTAACTTTAATTGTGGCCAAAACAGATTACCTTCATAATCTGCAAAATCATAAGCAAAAATGGGTTGCTTATGAAGTTTTAAGTGCTCAGTTCCTAATAGAGTATATTTTCACCTTACCTGTAATAGAGTTGACAACAGAACGTAGAATTGTTGGTGGTTTAATCAATTCTTTCAAAATGTTAGATTCAGTAGCCAGTGGAAATCCATTGTCTAACATTTCTTCCAAGAGTTCATATACGATGACCACATTATCCTTAATTGCAGCCTCTGAACACTCACCAAAGTAGTCCTAACAAAATACATAATATTGCACAATGAAAGGCACGAAGAAAATCTTGTTAAATACTTTTTGTTCTAAAGGATAAACTTAACAGGAGCATAATTCATTGTTTCAGATGCTGAAAATATGTAACAAACAGGGCGAAAAAACCTTCTACAGTTTTGTATGCTATTCCTTAATATTTCCTTAATATTTTTACATTGAATTGAATTTCTATTACGTATTATGATAGAAAGTACATTGAAACATAAAACAGAATGTGAACTATAAACTTTATCTTCCCTGATTCGGTATCCCAAAATATAAGTTTTTTTTTTTTGTTTTTTTTTTAGAGAAAATTTTGTTGCTCCTGTATTTTTATTTTTCTTATTTTGGGGAGAGGAAAATAGGTTTATTTATTTATTTATTCTTAGAGGAGGTACTGGGGATTGAACCCAGGACCTCATGCATTCTACCATTTGAGCTATATACCCTCCTCTCCTGATAGGTTTTAAATTACAAAAATTTTGAGACCACTTAGAGAACTGTATGTGGAGGGCACTATTATTTTCTGATGACATAATTCATAATATATTAAAAAAAATACAGCTTCCATGATCATGAGATTGTTCTGTTCTCCTCAAATAGTAAATGGAGCAGCCACATGTACTACTTACTATACACCCCACAAAAAAGGTTTTATGTTTATGAACTTATGCTTAGTTGAAAATAAGAGGGAGAGAGAGAGGCTGATAGACTACACATCAAAACCTGGGAAATTAAAGAATATAACCGTGTCCCACCTCCAGCTAATTTGGATGATTTGAATTCAAAAGACTGATGAAAAACCAACCTGAAAAGTGTCAGCAACTCGATGTAGAAACTCAATTACAAAGAGAGGTGGCACTTCAGTCTGTATGACAGACACAAAGAAGAGCTTATCCCGGTAGATACTGATGAGGTAGTGATGAGGTGTTGAAATAACAGGTGGTACATTTTCAACATCAACAGCTTTCTCTTGAGCCTCAAAGAAATAATCACAGACGGACTGGCTCACAACGCTCTTCCAGTGCTTCTCTAGAAATATGTCACCGGAACAGTTTATGAGAAACAGACTGTGGATCATTTTCTGGAGGGGGAAAAGAAGTGTAAATTTAGTATACATCAAAAAAGGTATCCTTGTGTTATCTTGATAGCAAAACCAGATAAGGCAATACAAGAAATACAGGCCAATATCACTTAAGAATATAGATGCAAAAATCTTTATTAAATTACTAGCAAACTGAATTCAGCATTATAAAAACAACTATAATCCTGACCAAATGGGATTTACGTCATGAATGCAAGGTTAAACATGAAAATCAATCAACATAATATACAATATTCATATAAGGCAAAGATATAATCATATCAAAAGGTGCAGAAAAACCATTCAACAAAATCCAGCAACCTTTGGTGATTAAAAACATTTAAACTAAGAACAGAAAGTAACTTCCTCAACCCGATAAAGAACATCTATGAAATAGCTACTGTATTTAATGCTAAAAGACCAAAAGCTTTTTCCTTTAATATCAAGAACAAACAGTAATTTTAACTTTCACCACTTCTGTTCAGCATAGTACTGAAAGTTCTAGCCAGGGCAACTAAGCAAGAAAATGAAGCTGAAGGCTTCCAAATTCAAAAGGAAGAAGCACTCACAGCAAAAAAAAATGCGACAATGAATATATGTATATTCATGTATAACTGAAAATTGTGCTCTACAATGGAACTTGACACAACATTGTAAAAATGACTATAACTCAATAAAAGAAAGTTAAAAAAAAAGGAAGAAGCAAAATTATCTATCTGCAGATGACACTATCTTGTATATAGAACTTTCTAAGGAATACACACACACACATACACATATAAACTATTAGAGCAATAAATCAGTTCAGCAAAGTTGTAGGATATAAAATTAATATAAAAATCTATTGTATTTCCACACATTAGCATGAATAATATGGAAATGAAATTGAGAATATAATTCCATTCATAGAAGCATAAAAAAGATTACAATACTCAGGATTAAATTTAACAAGTATAAGACCTAGACAGTGAATATTATAGAACATCACTAAAAGAAATTAAAAAGGCCTAAAAAATGAAAGACATTTCATGTTTATGGATTGGAAGACTTAATATTGTTAAGATGACAATACTTCCCAAATTGATCTACTGATCCAATGCAATCCCTATTAGAATGCCAGCTGCCTTTTTTTTTTTTGATGGAAACTGAGAGGCTGATCCTAAAATTCACATAGAAATGAAAGAGCCCAAGAGTAGCCAAAACAATCTTGAAAAGGAAGAACAAATTTGGAGGACCCACACTTCCTGATTTAAAAACTTACTACTAAGGTACTGTATGGTACCGGCACAAAGATACACATAGATCAATGGAATAGAACTGAGAGTTCTTAAATTAATCCTTACATACTTTAGGAACTAAGAGTTTAATCCACAATATCCATGTGTTAAAGCTTGTGTCATGAGATAAAACCCTTGTTCTAAAGTATATTATCTAAGGGGAATCAGGAGCTAGAACTAGGAAGATATGCATGATTCTGATCATTTCTCCTTTCCCTTAATTTTGGGACTTTCCCCCTCAGGTAAAGATCATAGTTTAAAATATACTAAACAAGACTTCTTTTCATTATTTCATAATTTCAGGTGACTGGCAAATGTGATCTGTTCTATTGCTCATACATTGAATTAGAGCAATCTTCTTTTGTCTTTTAATTTGGGTTTGCTTATTGACTTCCTATATCTGCTCTAAAATAAAACAGTATCTTCTTTTTTTTTTTTTTAAGTAGAAAGCTATCCCTCAAGGTTTACAGATTCCAGTAACTTGGATCTGTTATAATGTATTTGCTTATACTGGTTAGGATTAACAAACATACCTCTTAGAGAGTCATATTTTCTATCAAGATTCCTACTGAGCAAAAAGCTTGGTAGACAGAGGTTAGGATCTAAAGAAAACAGATCTAAGAAGGAACCTATATTCTTTAGGTTGAGTACCCACCCTAAACTCAAGTTTAGGGCTCTATCTCATAAATATATATCAACTGATTTTGCACAACAGTGCCAAGACCACTCTATGGGGGAGAGAACAGTCTTTTTAAGAAATGTTGCTGGGACAACTGAATTTCTATATGAAGAAAAATGAAGCTGGACCTCCACCTCATATCATACACAAAAATCAACACAAAATGTATCAAAGACCCAAACTGTAAGAGCTAAAAAATAACTCCTAGAAAAAATAATACACATCAATCTTCATGACCCTGGATTAGAAAATGTTTTAAAGATATGACACCAAAAGCACAAGGAACAAAAGAAAAAACATAATCTACACTAGAATTAAAACTTTTTGTGTTTCAGAGGACGTTATCAAGAAAGTAAAAAGACAACCCATAGAATGAGAAAATTGCAAGTCATATCTTTTACAAGGGACTAATATTCAGCATATATAAAGAATTCTTACAATTCGATAATAAAAAGACAAATAACTCAATAAAAATTGTGCAAACAATTTGACATTTCTCCAAAAAAGATAAACACACAAATGGTTGATAAGCACTAAAGAAGATGTTCAACATTTTTACAAAATATGAATCAAAATTATAATGAGATAGCATTTCATACACTTTAGGCTAGATATAATCAAAAGACAGACAACAACAAGTGTAGACAAGAATGTGGGGAAACTGGAACCCTTATACATTGCTGGTAGGAATGTAAAAGAGTGCAGCTGCTGTGGAAAACAGTCTTGAGTTTTCTGAAAGTTAAAGATAAGAGTTACTAAATGGCCCAACAATTTTATTCCTAGGTACACACCCAAGAGAACTAGAATATATGTTTACACAAAAATTTGTACACAAATGCTCCTGGTAACATTATTCATAATAACATTATTCATTCAAAAAGTGAAAACAACCCAAATGTCTATTAACTGATGAATGGATAAATAATAAACATCCAAAAATAAAATATTATTCTGCCATAAAAAAGAATGAAGTACCAACACATGCAACAACATAAATGAACCTTGAGAACATGCTAAGTGACAGAAGCTAGACACAAAAGATCAAAAACTGTAAGATTCCACTTACACGGAGTATCTAATATAGGCAAATTTATAGAGACAGAAAGTAGATTATTGGTTGCCAGGCACTTGGTAGAGGGGGAAGAATGGGCAGTTACTGGTTTTGGTATTTCTTAAGTGACAAAATCTTCTAGAATTAGCTAGAGATGATGGTTGTGCAACTCTGTGACTATACTAAAAACTCCTAAATTGCACAGCTTTAGAAAATTGAAATTTAGTAGTCTTTAGTTTAAAAATTGGTTAGTTTTATATGAATTATTATCTCAATTAACAAAGAGCATTCTTTAACTTTGTGACAAACAAATCCACTCCCAGCTGGATTAACAGAAATATGTATGAATGTGCACCAAAAAGATGTATAAAAATGTACTGTAATGGTGAAAACTATTATCACCTACTAATAGAACAATGGAAAAATAAAACTAGTGTATTATTAAAGTGAAATATACAGCAATGAAAATGAATAAACAATTGCTACATGAAACAAATATGGATGAATCTTACACAATATTGAACAAAGCCAGACTCAAAAAGGTACATATAAAATAATTCTATTTATATGAAGTTTTAGAAGAAACAAAACAAATCCATGGTACTGAGAAATCAAATGGTTTCTTTTATCGAAGAGAGTAGTGGTGGTGACTGAGGGGGCAAAAAGATGGTTTTCTAAGGTGCTGGTAATGTTTTATTTCTTGATCTAGATGATGGTTACAAGCAATGTTCATTTTGTGACAATTCACTGGGCTTTATGTTATGGCTTGTATACTTTTCTGAGTGTTAGTCATGCTTCAAATAGTTTATTGTCCTTGTAATATGAGAGACAGTGGAAAAATGTCTAATTACCTTAACTTGTTCCTTTCTTTAATATGGGTAACATCAGTATAAGGCATCTAGTGGCCCATTCATTCAAAATTATAGTACTGAATGGTAAATGTAGCTGGAGGAGAAAGAATATAAAATCTATGAATATAGTTTCTATGCATGAAAATAAATTCCAAAGAGGAAAGGAAGACTTTCCAGAATAAATTTGTTTAAATCTACTGACATAGAAAAAAATGACATCAAACTGACCACTTCTTTTTAGAGGAAATCATTTATTTTATGAAATAAAGACAATTGTGGTGATTTCTCCTTCCCATTTGGTGCATGTTCAACAATTAGCAAGTAAATAACACTAATCACTAAGATGTATTTTATTATTGTATTAATAAAGTATGAATGCTGTTAATAGTTTAGGGTTCCTGTGTATTAGAAATAAAAAATGTTTCTATGTTCAAAGCCATCTGTATTTAGCCCAGCAATCAATCTGAGTTGGGAGTAATAAACCCTGACTCCTCAGGCTTTGGACCTACTATATTCTTCCGAACTAGTATCTGGAACCTGCTACATTTTTCTACTTTATCTAATCAGATGCTTTGTTTAATAGGTTTGCTTTGTGTCAGTTTTTATTTGAGTGTTAAAATAGTGTCTCTGGAATACAAAGACTTGGTATTCAGAACCTCTGACTTTTAACTATCTTTCTGATACATTTTTAAAAAATGGAACAGGAATACCCAGCAATAAGATCTTCAAGTAAATTTGCATTATGATGTCTTTTCTTGGAATAAAATCTTCACCTAAAATATAAAGTATGGCTTAGAACATTGTAATCAACTCAATGAGACCCAGATTTGAGCACTTCAGGTGAGCCACCTATGGAATACGGTATCCTTGCAATAATTAATTTTCAGCTTCATTCAAAGTGTTTTATTCATTGAAGATAAATGAATTAATAATACCTAAAATGTACTGAGTACTGCCTGTGGGCCAAACACTATCCTAGGCACTTTACTTACACTATCTTCTTTCTCACAACTCAATGCTATAAATACTACTTTTATCCTCATTTTATGGATTAAAGTCTTGGAAACATTAAGTCAATTATTTAAAATCATACAGTAAGTATCAGAGCTAGGATTCAAACCCAGAGCTAGTTGAATCTTGAGCCCCCGTTCTTACTTGCCTCTTAGAAACTAATTATTAGGAATACATTAAAAAAATTGGGGGAGGTAATTAGGTTTTTATCTATTTATTTATTTTAATGGAGGTACTAAGGATTGAATCCAGGACCTTGTGTGTGCTAAGCATGCACTCTATCACTGAGCTATATCTCCTTTGGAACACATTCTAATGCAGCACTGTCCAACAGGATTTCCTGCAATTATGGCCAGACATGTCCTCTATTTGTGTTGTCCAATATAGCAGCCACTAGTCATATGTGAGAAGCTGAAATGTGGCTAATGCAAATGATGTACTTAAGTTTTAATTTTAATAAATTTAAATTATTACATGGAGCTAGTATCATATTGGATAATCATACTGGATTGGGCACCAAATGTTCTGTTTGAGCTTATAATTTAAGAGAAAGAAATGAAGGCTATCCTTCTTGCTTAGTTAGAAGCCAAAATGTGTTCTAATAAATTATTTACAGCAGAAATTATATTTAAATTTAAGAGCTGACACAGGTTATCTTCTTAAACTATTCATCCCAGTGAAAGTGCAGTACACATAGATCTGTGGTACTACACTGCCACAAGAGAACCCCAAAAGAGCTGCTTGTTCTTGAATCAAGTAACTTCATAGTTTCTCTGTTTTAGGGGCCAGATTCCTACTCATCCTCTTAAGCTGGGGAAAAATTCTTTCCTGGAAAAGTTTCCACCGAAGTTGTTTTCACTGGCAGCAGTTCAGGTCTCAGAAGAATACAGTACATTAAGCCCACCATCTGGATTTATTGTTGTTATCCTTAGTGCTGAGATGAGAGTATAGCACTTGTAGCTTTCAACAGTGCTTACTCTTTTTTTTTTTCCCCTACGGGAGGTACTGGGGACTGAACTCAGGACCTCATGCATGCTAAGCATGCACTCTGCCACTGAGCTATACCCATCCCCAACAGTTCTTAGCTTTAAAATCCATCTTAACCTTCTAGTATAGGAAAAGAGAGCCTATTTCATTTACCCATATTATGACCAAGGGCCTAAAGCAAAAAAAAAAAAAAAAATAACACATGCAGCAGTGTAAATTAGCCTGTTTCTTTAGCTACGTATCCTTTTACTAGCTGTAGTTACTTCTTTCACTATTATAATAAATTTTCTGGGAAAGCTAGACACTTATCACCACCACAACTATCTTTTTGTTCTTAGTGACTTTTGAGTCAGAAAACAGAATTCTCTCAGCTTATTTTAAAGCCACTTAAGCTGTTCAGAAGCAGTTCCATCAGAGCTTTGACTGCAGCTTAAATACTTAAATAAACCCTCATTACCCAATGTTGAGCACTCTCATCCTAATGTTTCACAAGCAATGTGATTACAAGTCACAATATCCTTGGAAGAGAGTGTCTGAAAAAGAAAACATATTCCTTCTACACATAACAGAATGGAGGCATAGAAGGGCCTCCACTATAATAGGAGAGAAGGTCATTTGAAGAATGAGGGAGAAGGGCACAGAGAGAAGGGGGGAGAGGGGGGCAGATAGAGAGAATTCCTCTTTGCTACTCATGAAATGAAATATTATTGAGCTACTTAAAAATATCTAGTCTGCAGAGAACTCCAATAGTCTATTGTGTTGACTGTTCAGAAACATTGTAAAAATCGTTAGGATTCAGTAAGAAAAGCTAACCTTATTGCCAAGAGAGGGTTCCTACTAAAAGTATGTTAAGTTTCAGGTAATTTTTCATTCATCTCATTCCTCCACTCTTTCTATGGTCAACTGAAAGCATCCTCCATTCTTTATAACACTAATCCTTCCACTAGTAATTTTGATCCCATTCTCTTTCCTCTTTTCCCAGGTCTTATCTTCTCTTTCTTGAATTTCTTGTGTGTGAACCTTACACACTAGTTACTTGCTTTCTGCCTCCAAACATAATGTGTCTTGTATTCTTCAAAACAAGACAACCCCGAACCTTTTAGAGTCCTTGCCACCTTCAACAATCTTGCTTCATGATCCAGATGAAGAAGGATTACTCTACACGCAATCTCCCCTCTCAGTAACTGACTCTGCTAAAGCAGTTCTCTCAAATGACATAACTTCCTAATCATTAAATTCAACGAGCTACTCTCAGACTTCAACTTCCTCCTTCGGTCCTCGCAGCATTTCAGGTCACTGATAAGTTTCCCCAAAACAAAGCAAATACTTCTTACCAAACTATATGAAATTCCACCTGTTTTGGTTCTCACTTCGAAATTTTCTTTCTGGCTTACTTCTTGAGCTTTTTTTTTTTTTCTCTTTCTATCGTCTCCACCTAAACCACTGTTTCAAACTTGATACATCCTAAACGCCACAAAATTCCTCCTTCTAATGTGAGGACTCCTAATTTTATAGAGATACCACTTTTTTAATCAAGCTTCAGCTTCGGGTTCAATCCAAATCCACCAAATCCAATCAACCACATCGTTCATACTTTTCCATACTCACTGTCACCTCATCAGTTTAGATTTCTACCAACTCACTTCGGTAGAACTGCAACACTCTCCTCAACGCATCCCCTACCCCAGGCTCATCCAGGCCGCACCCTCTAACAGGACGTCCGCTCAGGTCAGTCGGGGATTTTCTCCTCCACAGCAGAAGCCAGGCGCTGAGATTCGAGTGGTCGGTACTCCAGCTTACTGTGCGTGACAAGACCTTTCCCCCGCGCCGGAGTACGGTGAGGGACCCCAATGAGCCTGAACTTCTTGGGCTTAGGGCCGAAAAACACTGGGCCTCAGGTGTACCTCTCCTTTCCGCCCCGCTGGAAAGAAAGACCGGAAGGCAGGGAGGGAGGCGCGGTCCTGGCTCACAGCACCGCAGACGCTCCCGCATCCCAGGCTGGAGTCCGGAGCCCCAGCCATTCAGCCTACTCCCCGATTTTCGAGCTGTCCCCAGTCCGCAGACTCCCCGCCCCTCGCACTCACCCCAACACCTAGGCGCGTCAGTGATTCCAAGCGGGGTCCTCTTCGGATCCGAAGCAGAGGCAGCTAAAAAGGCCGTGAGGACCCCGCAATTGGAGTGCCCGGTAGATTGCCTGACTAACAGCTTCAAAGAAAATAAAGCATTGGAAAGAATAAATGAGCGGGAAGAAATTGAGTGAAAAGAAAGAAGTCTTTTGATGTATAGAATATAATTTTCTAGACCATCCAGAATCTAGAAGAGTGATTTCGTACATCCTGGACTCAGGCGCTCGTTCGCAGCCTAAATCGATCTGGGGTGTCTCTATAGTCGGGCGGGCGGGGTCAGGAGAAGCTGCATATTAGCCAATGGGTGAGGCCGGAAGGTAGAGCCAATGGCCGTGGATGGCACGTACAGGGAGGAGGAGAGAGGGGGCGGGGCCTTGAGAAAAGGAGGCGGTGATGTGATGAGGGGCGGAGCCAGACAGCCGAAGGGAGGGGGGCGCGCGCTGGAGCTTAAGTAAGGTGGGAGTGCGAAGATGGCAGCAGCTGAGGAGGAGCCGAAGCCCAAAAAGCTGAAGGTGGAGGAGCCGCGAGCGCTGAGGTGAGCGCTCCCTGACGTAGGGTGGAGGGTGACGGCACCTGCTGCTAACTAGGGCCCACGTGGGGTTGCGCGGCCCCGGCGTTGGGTGGTACCCTCATCACCGGCATAGGGCCAACGCAGAGGACCGGCCGCTCGGGGAACTGACCCCCCTGGCTGCGACCCTTTGGCGCCCGCCCAGTTTGGCTGAGTCGCCGCCTGCTCCGGAGAGGCTTCGCCCTCCCTTGGCCAATCAGAGCCCCGGCCGGGGGTACGAGGCGGCTGTGGGCAGGCTGAGGGCGCCACGTGGGAGCCCGTTCCCACTTGGGCTGGTGCGACCTGGGAGGACCGGACCCGACCTGAGCCGAGTCACACGCGGCCACCTCCTCTTCCCTGGAGGAGGAGGACTAGGAGAATGCCCAGCAACTGCTCTACCCTGGGGCAAAGACAGAATTCTTGGGGATTTTTCGTAAAGATCGCGGAAGGGCGCCTTGACCTTCCTTTTCGTACACTGAATCGGAGGCTGGTATCTTTGGAGACCATCTACCAAGGACCAAGACCCCGCCTTCGAGTTTTTGCGGGGGTGGCATTTGCTAGAATGGTTGGGAGAGGTTGATTTTTCTTTTTTTCTTTGCACTTTTTGGCAGCAGTGGAGGTAGTTCCGCACTAACATTTGCTTCACATGCGATGTGATGTTGCAACTTTTACTTATAAAAAGTTGTTGGTTAAAATATTCCTTCTTAATAAGTATAAAAGTGCAGTATGCGCATTCCTTGAGGATTTTGAAATGTCCCTTGGAAGGTAATGATTTTTCTATCTAAAAATAGACCATGTCAAACTGACTTAAAAGTATTGGGACACTGCTGATTATACAAGACAAATCTCATATCTTCCAACATTACCCTTCTTCACCTCTGAAAGAATGAATCATTCATAAATGAAAAGAAAAGATCGTTTAGGGTGTGTTCATGCTGTTTTGAATAGATGGTGACCAAATCCCAACCAGTGCCTTTAATATACCCCTCAAAGGGTTAGTGTGCCTGCCTTATAAGACGAAAATAAACCTTTTTTAAAAACGACTCAGGATGTTCTACTTTTGTTTTAAACTTTCAAACTATAGACTAAAGAAAAGGCTTTTGAATCAGATCTACCTGGGTTCAAGGCATATGCTTTCCCATTGGTCCATTATTAGAATACTTCCTTAGAAAGCACCTCCTTCACAAAGTTTCCTCTACCAAATTGGAAGACAGCTGCAACTTTCCCCTGCAGTCATACTAAACATACAGCCCTTAGATTTTCTCTTATACCCATTTGCGAAAGTGCTTTCCTATATTACAGATGAGGAAAGGGAAGCCTAAATAAAACAATTAGGGAACCGATGTATGAACCCAGAGTATATGGGTGCAGGTTCATTGTTGTTTTGACTTTACTTTACTTTTATATAGCCACCTAAGATAAGCTTCACTCTGCCTATGTAGCCTTAGAAGTCATGATAAATAATGATGTTTAATATGTATTGTTTCAGCATTTACCTATTTTAACTCATTAAATCCCACAACAACCCTACAAGGTAGACACTGTAATTATATCCATTTTACCAAGGAGTAAACAGGTATAGAGAGGTTAAGTAACTTGATCAAGGTCACCTACCTAGTAAGTGATGGGTTTGGGATTTAAATCCAGGTAGTCTGATTCTAAGCCTGTGCTCCTGATTACCACACTCTGCTTAACTTCAAGCAATTTATACAAGAGCCCTAGTGAACTGTTAACTCAGATTTCTGTATTTTCCCTTTTGTGTTTTTTTTGTTAATATACATAATTTTTTTATGTTGTTGCAAGTGTATGATTCATAAAAATTCTTAAACAGATACAATATATTTTACATGTCATTAGTGTCTGTTTAAAACTTATAGAAGTCCTTAGGCAGCTGAAAGTCATTTCATACAACATACATATATTGCCACCTGTAGACATGAAGTTAAAAGATTAGACACTTGGGTATTGGGATAAATCTCTTAATTTTGTGTAAAGACTTTGGGATTGGCTGTTCCTACGTTCATTGTATTTGTCTTTAAGGGTCTCAGTGTGATATGTGCTGAGTGGTTAGACTGCATGCATTATCTCTGATGACTTACTTGATAGTTAAGGGGCTAGCTACTGGTTTTGGTTAGACAATGGCTTATAAAGTCTAAGCATAATTTATTGTGTATAATCAGTTACTGGGGAACAAATAAATTTATGATATATATATATAGATGTCAGGGAAAGTATTTAGGGCTTTGTGAGAATTTCAGTTAGTTCTAGGGTAGCAGTTCTAAACCAGGGAAAATATTACCCCCACAAGGGGCATTTAGCAATGTCTGAAGACATACTTGGTGGGGAGTGCTAATAGCACCGAGTGGGTGGAATTCAAGGATGCTGCTAAACTTACATCCTACAATTCAGAGGAACCCCCGTACAACAAAAAATTATCCAGCCAAAATTGATAATAGTATGAGACTGAAAAAAACTCTTCTCCAGGGAGGGCCTCTGACAAGTCTAGCCTCCCTTTCTCAAATACACATTATTTTTCTAGCCTGGATTGCTATTCAGGGTATAGCAGTTACTGAAGTTGCAAAGAAATAAGCTAGGTCTATCATGTTCTCACACTGGGTTGGGGAACAGAAGGGAACATTAATTGAGTGCCAGACATTATACTTTATATATGTTCTCTCATTTAATCTTCCCAGAAACCTGTTAAGTAGGGGTAATGATCCCCATGTTACGGATGAGATATTTAGGGCTGAAAGAAGTCAAGAAGCATTTTCGGAAACTGCTTCCTAGATGAAGATGTTCTGTGATGATTACCTGTATTTAGGACCACTTAATTTTATTTTTCATTCTTTGGAAATAATCATCCAAGTTCATTTAGCAGTCACCTTTAAGAGGATAGAGTTCCTTCCAAGGCTTGTTGAGCACATGCCAAGTCTGTTCTTTCAGTTAGTCTTTCAGTTGCCGGCTATTTTAGGCATGCTGCTAAAAATTAGGTGCCTATCTATAGACAGAGCTTAAAGTCAGGTACCATCCTCCTCGTGGAAAATGAGTGGGATTTGGGAAAATGATACCTGATTATTCTGAAAGATGACAGCTAACCAGGTGTGAAGTAAAGTATCTGACCTTATAGAAAAGTTTGGTGGTAGACATGGGAGACAGCGGCCTCTGTTGGGGAACTACATTTGTTTGATCTGACTGAAGCAGAAGATATAGGCGTCCCGGCTTTGTACTGGACACATTCACGTGTATGCTCTTTCTATCTCTGTATCTTTCAGCTCTCAGACCCTAATTTTAACTGTTGGCTGAATATCTCCTTCTGAGTGTCTTGGTGACACTTTAAAGTCATATATATCAAACTAAATTCATCTGCTGTCCTAAATCTACACCTTCTTCCATGGTTCCTGCATCTATTAATGGCACCACTGACCTCTTACTCCAAAGTTTGGAACCTAGATCCTTTTCTTCTCCATCCCTTTTGCCACAACTCAAGATTAGCCTTTATTTTGCTTAGATTTTGTATTGGCTTCCTAACTGGTCTCTCCACCTTCAGTTTCAAGTTCTGCCTACTTGTCTTCAGGTGCAGCTCTACTTACTTATCATAGCAAACACTTGTAAACTCTGAAGTTGATGTTAGGAAGAGTTGAATCCAAAGAGCCCATGTCATAACTCTCTCTGACATTAGCAATTACACATTATTCTGGGTCATGATAATTTTAATTTCTATTAAAGAAACAAACTGCAATTCTCCAATCAGCAAATGTTGATCTTTTCTCAAATTGTTGTTTCCTAACCATTTCATTTACATGAACTAACTTTATTCTTTCCTTCTGTCTCCTACCTCACTAAAGACTCTGTGTTTTAAAATTGTGTGGTAAACCTGTATCTGTATCTGAGGTGACCAAGCAGTAGTCTCAGTGACCTCTTCTTTTAAAACACTTTTTTTTTCTGTTTCAGAAAATTCTCTGGAAAATTGCTTTATTTTTATAAACTGAGCATACTGTTCCTGGAATGGCCTCTTGTGAGGATTAAATGAGGAAAATATATGCAAACTAGAAAAAGAGAAAGGATGATTGATTGTGTGTCCTTAAAGTGTTGCTCAGTGCCTGGTCCTTAGCTGTTCAGTTAATGTTTGCTGAATGAATTATCAGCACTGCATAGTGTGGGACTGATAATCTTCACTTTTCTAGACCTTGTGTTTTTAAGAGTG